CGTGTTCGCCGCGCCCCCGCAGGTGCAGCACGGCGTGTCGACCAGCGTGCCGGGCGTCTTCTCCGCCGGCGACCTGCACGACACAGAGTGGCGCCAGGCCGTCACCGCCGCAGGCAGCGGCTGCATGGCCGCGCTGTCAGCGGAGCGCTACCTCGCGGCAAACGGCCTCGCGGTCGAGTTCAAGCAGCAGGAGCCCGCCGCAGCATCCTCTGCCAGCGCGGCGGCAGCGGACGCCTCGGCCGCGGCCGCCTCCTCGTCCGCGGCGGCGGCGTCCGGCTCGGACACGCCCGAGACGTTTGATCTTTCCGAGGACCGCCACAAGGGGCAGTACGCGCTGCGGCGGCTGTACCACGAGAGCGACCGCCCGATCGCCGTGCTATACACGTCCCCCAGCTGCGGGCCGTGCCGCACGCTCAAGCCGATCCTCAACGGCGTTGTGGGGGAGTACGCGGGGCGCATCCACTACGTTGAAATTGACATTGAGCAGGACCCCGAGATCGCAGAGGCTGGCGGCGTCAACGGGACACCCACGTTCCAGGTGAGGGGCCAGGGCAGCGAGGGCGGTTGGGCCGGCTGGGGCGGCGCCGGCGCCGGCTGTTGGGTGTGCTGATGAGAATTCAGGGGTGGGGGCGGCGGCCGGGCTGGGCTGGGGGTGTCAGGGTGATGGGAGCGGCGCCGCACCGTGCGTGTGCGAGCCGCCCGCTGCTTCTTGGCTTCAAGCGCCCCGACGGTAGGGCGAGCCACTGGACCTGCTCGTTCCAACACACTCGCTCACGGCCCCTCGCTCCCCCCTCACCCCCTTGGCCGCACCGTGTCCGCCTCCGTTCCCCTTCCCTCTCCCCCCTCCCAAACCCCCCAGCTGTTCAAGGACAAGGAGCGCCTCGTCAACGTGGCGGGCGTCAAGCAGAAGCGCGAGTTCCGCGCCATGCTGGACTCCGCACTCGGGGTGCCGGCAGGCGTCACAGCCTGAGGCGGCGGCGGGGGGGTGGCCGCGGTAAATGCCCCGTAGCTGTGGCTGCTGCTACGGCGGCGGCGACCGCCCCTGCGTGTCCCTGCGGGGCGCGGAGCGCTCTGCGCTCCGCAGCACATCCAGTGTGCAGGGCGTCTCGAGGTGGCTCAACGCCAGGCCGCCCCTCAAGCCTTTTTTGTCTTGGGTGTGTCGGTCCCCTGGAGTTGGCGCGGGCGCCATGCGCGCCGTGACTGCGGCGGCGCTGGCGGGCCCGCGGTGAGTGCTGTACTGATGACCGTTTTTGGGGATCGAGGGGCCGGCGCATCGTGCGCTGGCGGCGCGGCCGTGGGAGATGCGGAGGGGAGCTCAGGGGTGCAGGAGGCTTTGCTTTGCTGTGGGTTGAGAGGGGCGTGAGCCCAACGGCCCACGATCGCCTCCAGTGGCCTCTCCCCATACGTCATGTTCTCTCCTGCCGATCTGCACATGCTGCCGCATCTGTGTCCACCTGGATTTTGCGGGGCTGATAGGGCTCGCATGTCAAGCGCAAAAATAACCAACCACATTTTGTACCGACCTGAGTGCTGCAAATTGCAGTGGGCGAGCGAAAGTGCAAACGCAGCACGGGCGGTACGTGCTTGTACCGTCGCTGTGCGCGGCTGGACGTTCAAATTAGTGAGCTGCATGTGTAAGTGCGTTGCTGATGTTTTCGGTCAAGGCAGCATGCAAACAGGCGTTTGGGCATGGGTACCATGTGGCCAGGGGCATCTGCGCTGTCCAGCTTCCACATGGCTGGTACAGAATCCTGTGCGTCAGTTCTTGTTCGGACGACACGCAGGCCTTGAGGACGTTTGACACCACTGTGCGCATCTCTTTGCGCTGGTCATAATCACCGATCATTGCGTACTGTATCGTAGCTGTAAGCCGTGACACGGCCGGCAGATCTCTGTTTCTCCGCGCCATTTGAAGAGCTGTTTCACCTCACAATCTAACACACATTTTTGAGCCAGTCGCGTCTGTGCAGGCGCGTTCGGCGCTCGCGGCAAACCTCGCAAGGCGGTGACGCAGCTGCCGTGGACATGGCGGCGGCAGGACGATGGCGGATTGAGGTGCGGTTTGGCAGAGCCCAGCAAGGGGGATGGACTTGTAATGCAACCGGGGCTGCGTCGCTGCGAGGAGAGCGAGGGCATGAGACTGGCTTGGAATGCAGGGCAGCAGGGTGGGGACAGCAGCGCTATTTTGCACGGCAGGTCCCTTCTTGATGACTTGTGGCCCCTGCGCTCGGAGCTGGCGGAGCACTCAAACCCCAGCCCTCCCTCCCTCAACTTCCGGTCCCTTTGCAACCCAGAGCGAGGAGCTGGTTGGCGCCAGCGCCCTGCCGGCCCAGGCCCCGGCCCTTGGCATCGTGGACCGCCTCGCAGCGCCGCGCGCCTTTGTCGCGCAGCTGCTGCTGTTTGAGCACGCGCTGGACGCAGACGCGCTGCGCGGCGCGCTGGAGCAGGTGCGAGGCGCGGCAGACGCAGTGCTGCGCTGCAATGGGTGCAGCAGGTGGCGCGCGGCACCCGCACAAGTGTGTACGGCACACTACATCGCTG